AGGTAATGATTGCAGAAAAATATAAGATGAGCCGATTCTAAGGCTGAAGGCCCCAGAACCAAGCAAAAGAGACTACTATTTTCTTGCTAACTTCCGCAAACAGGAAACTCGCCGCAATAATTTTCAAGTAAAAACTTAATAATACAGTAACATGGAAATGTCTTGCAAATGATTTCGATCGGTGCGGCTCTCTAATTGGTAGAGCGGGTGAGCAATTGTCAGTTAGCGTCGTAAGTTGCTACAGAATGCTGCAGTCCACTTAATGATGGCTTGATCATTCAGATTAAAAGCCTTGCGATAAAACGAACGAAAGTACAGATGAGTGTACATTATATCAAAACAGTTATTAAACTCTCGCTGGTTAATTGACAAAAACACGCTGTTCATTTAAAAAGCTTTTACATTGGATTTTCCGGGTCTTCAAAAGTACATTTCACCTCGAATCCTAGGTTTGAAGGCGGGTGATCCACCGCTGTGCGACTTGATGGCATATTCCAAGGCCATCATCGACAGCTTATAAAGAAATGTACACATATGCAATGCTACCTTTACCTAGGAAGCTATTCTCTAAGAAAAACATCCGTAATCAATATCACAGCAAAAAGTTAAGGGGCGCTAAATGATGCGATAAACATGGCTATAGTCACTTTAGAGCCACTTACTTATTCTGCAGGGACATTTCGAAAGATTATTATTAACTTTAGAAGCACGTAGGAATTGATTTATAATACTGACGCTGTACAAGAATAAAACTGTCATAATGCAAAATTATTAAGCTCTTTAGTGTGTCATGAGATATGCTAAACGTTTAACGGCATTATTTTCGTGGCAACTGCTCACGTTTAGCTGCTAATGTTGGATTTTATTGCTCAAAGTTTTCGTGTTAGCTCAGAAATAAAGCAACGGTTCGAACATCTCACCCAAGCAGTTCTAATATCAAATGTCCTGCTACAGTAACTTGCCATTCTTTTCAAATGAAAAACTGTTTCCAGTCCAGTCGATGCTCCACAATACATTTATAAAGTTATTACTGTTAAAGAACTTGATCCGTCGTTTCTTCCTTTGATTGAAAAATTCAGTCACCTTAACTGGACATTCTTCAGTCAGTTCTTTACATTCTGAACTGACAACCAAACAACTTTGGTATCTTAGTCAAGTTATATTCAAAAATTCAAGTTATGTAATAATTTTACAAAACTTTGACGGGAGTCTTCCAATGGCTGATTTTCATTGAACTGTTTATCTGCTAGCGCTGACCCATTTCACGTTTAAACACAGCTTTCATTGTACTGCGCCACCGAGACTTTGCTGATTAAAATGCAGGTAAAGTCGATATCTGTGGTCACCTTAATTCAGAAGCAGAATTTCAGTGGCTGAATGTGAAGCTCATGGATTTGAATCGATATTGCTAGGACAACGATTATAACGGAAAATACTTTTTGTGATCGAATTCGAATTGTTGCGACTGCTCAATCTATCAATGAACGCAATTACTTTTCGTTTTTCAGTATTCGACTTCTCGAGCTGTATGAAACATGTCATTTACATTGCATCATGATCGTATTCGCCAACATTTATAAATTATCAAACAACCGCGCTTTCATGCTGTGAAAAACTTTATTGTTGTGTAACTCTGATACCGTAAAAATGATACATTTCTGCTGCTTAGCCGAGATTTCGAAATGGTCACAGGCAAGAGGAGTGGATTTTTAATCCACTGATAGAATATGCGCATACTCATAATTCCATCTGGCGTTATTACACAATATTATTGATCCTTAAGGCCATGAAAACATGATATCATATTCAACGCATCGATGTAGCCTGCGTATCACACGCTGTTCCTTACCAATTATTTATCTGCAGTCGGTACTCCATCAGATGAGCAACCAAATCGTTCCCTTCCAACTATAACAGCGATATGAGCAAATCACATACTGTGTCATTGTTGTTCTTGTAATCATAATCTTCGGTGTCAAGGTCAAGGACAGCGTACCCAGATTAATTATGAGGTTGCTATTGACTAATACTGAATCACTATTCATAAAGGTAACTTCACGGATCTAAAAAATAAAATAGCATGTTCCGATCTCGATAAACTATAATTATGCGACATTGGATTTACATCCCACTATGACATCATCTTCCCGCTCCTAGATGCATAAGGTATTAGTTAATCAGACCACGGCTCCATGGGGTTTTAACGTCTGCATTGAAAGGATGCGTTTCGCATTATTTTATTGACTAGAACAATAATTTATTCTCCGCCAAAGACGATTCAGCAATTGTTGTTCTTTAATCTTATTTTATTTAAAAGAAACACTAAACGTGACTTTTTTAAATAAATTTTTAAACAAACCTATATTTCTTTTTTATTTTGGACTTCATGTCACAATAACTGCTCTATGACAACTCCCACAAATTTAGGGAACCGTTTGACAAAGAGGATGTCCAATGGTTTCACATTCTGATGGCTGCTCATAAAAGCATAACCGAATCATTTATCAGCGAAATGTAACAAACGCCCTAATGCCAACACGCTAGTACCATATATAAAATGAACTTAAAAGTTTTAGATAAGTGCAGTGAGGAATATCCTAGAGGCGATTTTTATTATAGACCACTCACTTTCAAATCACTATCTGTCGTAGGGCATAATGTTCAGAAAAAATTCGTTCTATGCAGATTTGATAGGTTGTGCCTCAAATCAAACTGCGGCTTTTTGTATTTTACTGCTCGTTCAGCGCCACTAAAACGGTAACATCTCATCTCATGAAAAAGAGTAACTTCACTGAAAAGATTAGCCTATTCTCTTTCTATCTGAATATACGCCGTGTTGACATGTACTGAAACGCTATGTCGGTGTTCCCTTTTTCAACTCGCACAACTGGCATGGGCATTGGCCTACTGATGCAGCCAGATTAAGGTTGTCTTCTTTCTCACTATCAAGATTCGTTGGTTTGGAGTAATCGCGTCAGTTACAAAAGTTAGTTTATGAATCAGCGTTCGTAAACTGTTTATCCACGTCGCTGCTCTAATTTTCGCCATCATCTCAAAAGCGATATGTCAAACTAATCCGAATTGCCCGAGTGTAACCTGACCACATCCGCTACAGCCCTTTGATATAGTTCGCAAAAGTATTCATCAGTTATAGCATCACTGGTTCCTTCACTCCATTACACTCATTTCGGAGCATCCCCTTTACGTCATGTATGAATGTTGTAGATGTCATGTAGACTCGCGCGGAATCCTCACCTTTTTAAAGTTGTTTCAGCACTCCCTCACAAAGTTGTACAATGAGTCACTTGCGCCCGCTTCACTACGACTGCTTCAACAGTCTGAGGAAATACAAGCTCAGTCAGTCAGTCGGTCAGTCAGTCGGTCATTCAACCGGCTAGCCAGCCAGTTTCTATGAATGATTACTTCAGGTTGCAGAAGTAGCTGCATCAGACAATGTCCCCAAAGTTCCTCCGATAACGTCTCAGTACCAACACATGATAATATCAGTCTAGAGCAGAGTCAATCGAGTCACGAGGCAGCATGAGGCCATCCTTGGGGTCTTTGCCTGGTCGGTTAAGCAAGCAGTAGCTGATTCATCCTTCTTACTGGAAGCATTCCAAAACGTTTAATTATTCCATCTGATGAAACTTTTTCATCTATTTGTGAAACTTTTCCACCACGTCTGAAGACATATTACTTCTTGTTGGTTCATTAACTGCTCGCTGCTTCATTACCATCTTATTAATTTTAAATGTATAGCGTCATGAATCAACGACAAGACCCTGCCACTTTGTTAACAATTTCCCAATCAATCATAACGCCGCTAAAGTAATATTTAATAATGGCATTGAGTCCGGCGTTGTCAGTACCAAGCTCTGTTGAGAAAGGAGGAGGGTTGGAGAAAGTGTCGAAGGATCCGTAAAACTTCGTCACCAGCCCTTCATCGTACTAACGCCATCGAAAATTATACCGGCTCGGTCGTCGCCCGGGTTACCAATGGCCGCGCAAACTGTTGAGGGACTGAGGCAGACTGCGAAAAGCCGGCGATCAGAACCTGCTCATTGCCCCCTGCCAGCCGGGGGTGTGGCAACAACGACGGCTGACGAAGACCGACGCAACGACGACGAAGATACCAGTCAGCAACGGAGTCGCTACCCGTTATACGGCTGACGAAGACCGACGCAACGACGACGAAGATACCAGTCAGCAACGGAGTCGCTACCCGTTCTGAATGGAGGAGACAGACAGCGCGATGCAATTGTAGCACATCAGAAAAGGCTCCACGAGAACGACAGCACCAGTAGGAGCATACAGTCGGAAATTGGAATGTATCCTCACTCAAAGACAATGAGCCCGAGTTAGTTGACGAGACCATTAAGTACGAACTCGACGTTGTTTGACCCCCCTCGTCAACAAAGCGCCAAGGCTGTGGAATCCTGAACCGTTGCGGGTGGAAGCAGGTGTCGACATCGCGACGTGCGTTCACGCCGGTGTTGCTGTTCTGGCAGAACCCAATCTCGCAGAGAGACTCATTGATTGCAAGGATTGTAATCCTCCGACGAATCCAACAGGCTAAAGCAGTGTCCTTGGTGCAGGTCTATGCGCCCAATTTGGAGGGGATATGATTCCTTCCTTAAGGAAGTGCTGGGTGCTGTGTACGAAATGCAGAACACGGAGTCCCTTATACTCACGGAGATGATGTCCACACCTGAGCAGGACAGCTTCCACCCGCAGAAGTTCAGGATTCCAGAGCCTTGGCGCTTCGTCGACTAGAGTCCAACAGTGTCGAGTTGGAACCTTATGGCTTCATCAACTAACTCTTGTTCTTTTCGTCTGAGTGAGGATATGTTCCAATTTCCGACTTTAAGCTGCCACTGGTGGTGTCGTTTTCGTGGAGCTTTTTCTGCCGTGCTAAAATTGCATCGCGCTGTCTGT